AATATTTCATTGTGGTTTGTGTGTGTGTTTCCCTAATGACTAATGATGACTTGTATGTCTTTTTTTTTTTTTTTATGGTTTACAAAGAACATTTATGGATACTTCTCATTGGATCCTCATGCCAACTTGAGAGGTAGAAATTATACTTGCCCCCATTTAAGAGTTAGGGAAGTGGAAGAGAAGCTGGATAACCTGTCTGGTTATGGTTAGCAAGGGAGCCGGGTTTGATCCCTAGTTGGGTCTGGTTATCTGGCCCAGGGGCATTCGACAGGAAGCGTGGGTCTGCAGTGGCCTGCGCACTGCAGCCTGGGGGAAGGGCTTACTGCTGGTCTCGGATGATGAGGTGGGTGGAAGAGGTACTTGGAGATGTGAGGTCTTTGGGTCCAAAGGGGGCTGCGCAGCTCCTTGCCACCATGGCTGAGGGAGCAGGAGAGGTAGAAATCTTTGTAGCTGGTAGCCCAAGTGATGGGGATGTGGTGGGTAGCTAGACGGTGAAGGCCAGGGCCCTGGAGGAATGGAAGGCCTTCTGGACCAGATCATGCTTGTGGCTCCCGGGCACTGCCGTCTGGAAGTCTGCATTGAACGCGTTGCAGTACAGCTCCGCCAGGTCCAAGATAGCAGCACCCAGGGCTTCCACGACCTTCTCTCAGTTCTGCCTCACAGCCAAGATGCTGGGATCCTTCTGAATTTTAGGATGCACGTGGGAAGGGCAAGGGATATTTGAGAGCATTGGTGATCTCAGGGATTTCCCTGGCGGCCAGGGCATTGCAGACAGGCCACCCTATCAGCCTTCAGCGGGAAGTCCCCATCAGCCAGCAGGAAGGCATCTGCCTCATTGTGGTAAGTGTCGAACAGAAGACTGAGGGCCTGCCTGCTGATGGTCTGCTCGACTGGCCTCTCTTGTAGATGGACGGCATGGTTCAAGGTGGAGGGGCTCTGGTCATCATTCGCCACCTGGGCCAGGTCACGGCATACAGCCTGCTGCTCCATCAGGTGTAGCTGAATGTCAACGTCCAACGTGCAGCAGTGCTGAATGTACTAATGGCTGCTCAAGGTATGCTTGTGTGGGGTAGGGGGATTAGAACATTAGCATCCTTGGGACTCAGTGGGAAGGGAGATGCATACCTTAGCTTCTGCAGGAACTCCTCCAGCCCACGGGGCTTTAGCACAAAGTCACCCATGTCCACATTCCTTAGGTCACCATGAGTGTAGCCCAGTGTCTGGTAGATGAACAAGTCTTGCCCACATGTATATCTTACTTGGAGAAATGTCCTTTCGGGTTCTTTGCCCATTCAAAAAATTGGGTTGGCCGGGCATGGTGGCTCACACCTGTAATCCTAGCACTCTGGGAGGCCGAGGC